AATAAATGAAAAATTCATATGCAACTTTTGACGCACCATTTCTCTATTATCGTTGCCCAAACTAGCTAATACTTGTAGGCATGGGTTGTGCGTAATTCGAAGGATTGGAATGACCTCTCTCGCAAATTTTCGTGCATCCCACAGGACTTTAAAATCTGTTACAACCATACCTAAAACATCCTCAAGCTGAATGTAGGTCGTTGCGCTCGCCCCTGTCTTGATATTTCATCTTTTGCTTAATATTCTGTATTTTTGAATAGGATTTTTAAACTTCCGATAGGACATTTTTCATGTCATTCGATTCGTTGAATGATACTAGTTTTATTGGTAGCAGACTACTGCAAACTGATTTCTAAATTAAAATTCGGCTTTCAGAGACACTCTATTGCCTAGCAGTATCCCCGTGCGGGAAACAATTAGTTTGATCTGTCGAACTCAGGAAAAGGCTAGAAAATTTACGACAATTTATCGGAGCAAGTAATTGGCATACATTTTTATAAGCGCTTACTTACCAGCAAATTACTGATTGGATGAATATATATAATCGATCTACAGATGCTTCGTTTTGGTCATCAGAGTCTGAAAATGAAGAATAATAGTTATTGTAGTTTCACGCAAAAATTTATTTCGCTTTAATTGTTTAAATCCCTCTTAGTTATCTCGTGCTTACCACACTTTTAGCCTTAAAATATAGATGACTACAAAAGGTGTCATGAAGACGGACTGTTTGGGATGTGCGACAGTCCGGGCGCCAGTTTCGCGAAATTCTCTTTCAGGAAAAGCTTATTAAACAGTTTTTATCTATAAAAGTATGTTTAAAACCATTTTTGATCTCATTTTTGATCTTCTCCTCAATATGGTCTTCTAAGCGCTAAGCCACTTCCAAACTGGAAAGTTCGCTCCATACTGAGTATAAGCAGGCATTTGTTGTTGCAAATGTGTAGGTTCTCCTTTCATTAGAACTTATTATAAAAGCAGCCAGACTCACGGATAGCCGTCAGTCGCCTTAGAACAAAGAGAGCATTGCCATGGCAGAAAGTTGTAGCTGCAACTACTTCTAGTGCTCTAAAAAACCATAGTTTGGCAAGGCTTAGACCTGTTAGTAATTTCATTAGAATCGTCTTCGTTAGACAAGTTCTGCATCGAGTTACATAAAAATCGAATACTTTTAGAATTCATGCCTCTTGCAACCTAGTTGACGAGAAGATAAAGTCATTTTATTCAAAGATATAAAGCTTGGCAATTTTCTTATTACTCTAATTACGGTCTTATTACTTACGCAGGCTTTTGAGCAGAAGCTTACTCTTAGACAATCTAAATCTATTTATCCAAAACCATTTTTTATAGTTGCGCCCGAGCCAGTGACAACCGCTTCAGGTATGCAAGCAGATCGATTGCATTTTTATTGTAAATTTTATTTGTTCTAATTGCTTAACGCAGGCTTTTAAAGCAAGGCAATTCAATTTTTTTATAGTTTCTCCCGAGCCAAAAACAACTCCTCCAGGTATGTTAGCAAACATAACCGCATGTTCATTAAAATAATTATTTTCAAAGACGTAATTTTTGAAAATTATGGCTTGACCAAGGTGCAGGTTTACTTATAAACAATTCAGAGATGAAAATTTTAGAAAGCTAATCACTTAATGCATTTGAAGTTATCGATTTTTAGTTAGTCTAAAGTAATTTATCTGAAAGTACATCTTTTGTAGTTACGCCCAAGCCAACGACAGCCGCTCCAGGTATGCTATTTTTTAAGGTTTTCCCCTAGTTATCTCTGAAAATTTTACAAAGTATATACTTTCAATGCCTTCAGAACCGCTTGAAGAACTAAAATGTCTGTTTGTTGGCGATATGTATAATTTTGCAGTTTACCGAGAAAAGTACGACAAAGTAAGCAGATGCTTCCAAGGTAGTTCATATCAAACGCTTTATTCAATATTTTCAAGGAGGTAGCATTTATCTCTTCTCTTGGCGATTACTTCTTTGCAAATAAGGCTATCAAACCCCTGGCTGGAGTATGGGCTTATGGATGGACGTATTTTCCAGACTTCCCAGAACCAGACAAAATTAGCGCCAGCCACAGCGCTTTTTCAAAAGAATTGGACAGAATGGAGTTATGTTACCATAAGGATCCTTTGTCAACAGAAAAGTGAAGACACATATCCACAACTAGTCGGATGTAAAGCCCAATATTTTTAGGGCAATTAAAGTTATCAATAGGCTAAAGGGCAATCAAGTGAACTGCGTAGTATTCTTCTCTGCACAGTATGTTGCTTCTCACCTTGTTTTACACTGAACTTCCAATAATAGACTATTTCACTGAAACCAAAAATAGGTGAGTTTGCTTCCTCAGGAACAATACTAAATATCTGCCGAAGCTCAATCCTCGGAACAAACTATTCAAGCGAATCGTTGCAG